ACATTTTATATTAAAATAATTATATTTTTTTAAGTATTATTATTTTGACATATTTTAAATCAAATGTATTGTATAGCACGTGCCAAATTGTAAATCAAAATTTTTGTTTGATGTAAGCAGACTAAAGCCATTTTTTTATTAAATTAAATTGGCTACAAAAGTTCATTTTGAAGAAAATCCCAGTTAACATGCCAAATAAATAATATACTTACTTACATATTCTTTTATTATTAAAATATGATTCAGTAATAGAATATTTTGACGCAATTTATTTAATTAGTTTATTATTTGTTTAATCCACCACTGCAAATATTCTATTTGTATTATTAATTTATATTTATTTATATCCAACAGACACAGGGCATTATTACAATTAGTTTCTAAATCCATTAAATAAAAACTTTTGTTTTTCAATTTTGTATAAGTATTTCGTCTATTTTTAGTTTAGTTTTACCGATATAAAAAACAAAATTCGGCGTAATTTTTGCACAAACAGAATTTTGAAATAGCATATTACAATTTTTGTTAGAGTAATAAATAATTATTTATTAATGCTGTGCATGCTGTAATGTCGGGATGAAACTAAATTTTAGCTGTTGCCAATCGCCCAAACAATCGCCAAGTTTCTCACAATTCTGCGTATTTAAGGCCTACAAACAGATAGGCCTTTCATTCTTTCAAATAAGTTAACTTATTAAACGGGTTAATTTACAGAATGTTAACATTCCCATCAATTGATGGGAACAGCCCTAGATAAAAACAAGTTTTTGTCTAGGGGAACAGCTCTACCATAGGTTCTAATCGGCTATAAATTAATAAAATGAATTTACTCGAGCGACAAGTTTTAACAATTCTTTCCCCTTTTTTAGATTGCACTTGATGAAAAGGGTTTATTTTCTTTTTGTGTATCATTCGTAAACGCACAAACAAAGAAAGAGAAAGAAAAAAGTTGGTAGTTTTGACACAAAGAACACCTACGGAGCAAAATGCCCCACAATAGTAAAGATAATATTACTACAGAACAACAGGTGGGAAACCGGTTGAAAAAGATTTCTTTTCATAAACGCCCTGATGTTTACTACCTGCTTCACCCCGTACTCATTTAATAAATAAACATAGGCTTTGGTAAAAAACGCGTCAGATGTCTTGGGCAAGAACATTAAAAATCGATAGTGCAACAACACTAAGTCTTAAATTTATGTTAATTCCAGATATAATCATGCAAATAAAATTCTGCAATGTAAATTTAGGCGAATTAACCTCATTTCACTTATGCCTCTGTTTTGTTTCACAGGTAAGGATTAATCGCTGGTCAGCGATATCGAATTAAATTTTTAGTGTATTAAATATAAATTCCAAGTAGACAATCTTTTTTATAAAGTATATTATTCAATAAATGGTGTTTCATTTAAAACGACTTTTTTTTGTTTTTCACCGAAACTCCAAAATATTGTTCAAAACATCGAAAAAAAAAATTCATCAAAGTTTGAGCCCTTAATTTTGATTTTAAGTACTTCCTTTTTCATTTTAAATTTTTCCCATTTAAAAAGCATGTACCTATTTCAATCAGTTTTTTTAAATTTTTAAATCTTTGATTTTTATAAGAGCCTATACAAATTTTTCTCTAACTCGATTCACCTTGCAGCTCTGAAAGTCATTTTTTTACTTTTTTTACATATTTTTGATAATTTTAAGAGAATGGCTGTTCTTACCAAAAAAATTTAAAAGAATAAGTTGAAGAAAATCTAATTATCTACAAAATAAGTTTTTATGTTTATACTGCACAGTTTACAAGATATTTAAAAATTTATCCCTGATAGCAAAATTTGATTTTAAGAATCTTCTAAGAAGATATGACCCGGAATAATGGAATATTCTTAGAACCTTCCCTTATTGCTAAGAATGTTCTAAGGGACTTTTAAAACATTCAATAGATACCCTTTTAATGATGCAATTAGATTCTTAAAAACTTCTTAAAATCTTCCTAAAAAGCATCCTAAGAACATTTTAAGAATACGTTTTTGGAATGTTCTTAGAAGGTTTCTTATGGAGCTTCTAGGAAGCTTTTGAGAATATATCCAAATATGTTAGATACCCTTTTTCTAATATGTTGTATTCTACATTCGTAAAATTCTTCAGGAGACGACAAATACGCCTCAAGGTCATAATATGACAGTGAAATGTATTTGTCATCCCCTTAAAAAAATTTGCGACATATTAATATATATGTACTTATTTAAAAATAATAAATAAACAATTTTACCTCTAAACCATAAGTTGTATGACATTATTTCATAAAAAGTAAAATTGGAAATTTTTGTGGGGTAAGTCAGATTAGATTGAAGTTGAAGATAGTTAGGATTATTATACATAAAAATGTTAATTCAGAAATAAAAAATCGGTATACAAATTAATAAATATTTATTTTTAACATAAAATAAAATACCTATAGTAAAAGTATTTTTGTTATCGAATATTGTTTTAATTTGACAAATAACTATAAAAACATATTTTGGATTGTGTTTTTTACTTAGTATTTAATACTAATTACTAATTAGGTACTTAAGTATAGATATACCTTTATACGTAGTTTGTGGTATATTTTACTATTATATAGGTAACTGAACTAAATATGCTTAACTGGAATATTCCTAAATGAACTTTCTATAGCAATTACTTTCTTAACATTCTAAGCATATGTTTAGAGTAGACTAATTTTTACCACTAAAACTTTGCACCTTCTAAGAACCTGCCTATAGGCCAGTAAGAATATTCTTAGGATCATGCTATATGTCTTTTAAGCATGTTCTTTAGAAGAAATATAGCATGATCCTAAGAATATTCTGACTGGAAGGTTTAAAAAACATTCTTAGAATAAAGTGTGCTATCAGGGATGGAATCAAATTTAAGACAAATTAATCTCAAGAAAACACAAATTTTTCAAATTTTTAATTATTAAACTGCTCATCTTGTAAAGTATGCACTTTAGCGATATAAACTGACTTTTTTGTATACAAAAAAGTCAGTTTATATCGCTAAAGTGCATTCTCTATAGAGAATTTAATTTTCCACAACTTTTTCCTTTAAAGTTTTTCGGCAAGAGAACCCATTCTCTTAATATTTTCAAACATAAGTATAAAAAAAGTAAAAAGTTAGTTTCAGAGCTGATACCATCAAGATGAACCAAGTTAGAGAAAAACTCTTAAATGCTGTTTTTCGGCAGGAGAACCCATTCTCTTAATATTATATAACAATAATATAACCAAGTTAGAGAAAAACTCTTAAATGCTGTTTTTCGGCAAGAGAACCCATTCTCTTAATATTTTCAAACATAAGTATAAAAAAAGTAAAAAGTTAGTTTCAGAGCTGATACCATCAAGATGAACCAAGTTAGAGAAAAACTCTTAAATGCTGTTTTAAAAATCGTTAGTAAGTAACAATGAACCACAACTTGATAGCTTAAAACCCGACAAAAATATAGAAATTTAAAGAAAAATTGATTGAAAATACGTGCTGTTTAAATGGGAAAAATTTTAAATGAAAAAGGAACCAAAATTAAGGGCTCAAACTTTGATATATACATATGTAGGTACCTATATGGTAAAAAAGTAGGTATGTATATTTTAAATTTATACAGGGTGTTTTTTTTAATAATTAACTAAAAAATAACTATTGCCTACGTAGATATGAAAATTGGATTACTGTATGAGTACCTAAGTACAAAAGTTTTAATATTTAGCCCATTTAAATCAAATTTTATTATTAATATTATATTATAAAATACCATAAAATCTAAATCTAACAAAACATTGAATTTGGATTTAGTTTTGTAGAAAAATGCAATGATATCAAAATTACAACAAACATTTAAATTAATCATTCCTATAAAAGTAGGTAATGCATTATTACATTAAAATTAATTTTTTCTACTCCCACCTTTAAAACGCCCTTTATCGTACATGTTTCCATGGCCTTTTAAATACACATTGACAAGTTGTGGCTTTAAGGCGCTTTAGTCACGGGCTGAAGTTAGCAACAGGTTTTTAGTCACGGGCTGAAGTTTGTTTTAAGTTAGTTGACAGTTGTCAAATGTCATACAATCGTTAAAATAAAGTGCCTTTCTTGTAAAATAATACTAAATCTGAAAATTATTTTATTATCTCAATACGAAAATACAAAAATATTAAATAGTTTCTCAACGCCAATATTTGAAAAGTTTATATGAACATTGTACTGACCTTTTAATTTCGCCGGCAGTAAACTATAACTTAAATTCGGGCACGGACTCTACTGTAAAGTCCTCATAAAACATTTCCTTTCACCGTGAAAAACTCAATTTTCAAGATACATTTCGATTTATAACCTTTATAATTGTGTTTATAAAATGTAAAAATGTGACATTTGACAGTTTCCCCTGTTGTTTCATTGATGGCGCTCTATACAAATTTTTGATTTACATCATTTTAAGATAATAATAAGTATTTGTCGTAGAAAAAGTATAGTATGCACCTCGTTTATAAACTTTTCTATACACTCATTAACCTAAGCACTCGCTCGCATGATCGCTCGTGCCTAAATTAAATTCGTGTATAAAATGGCGTTTATCAAACTTGATACATAATATACTATAAAGCAACAAAATGAAATGAAATAATCCGTTTAGTAAAATAAAAGTTAGGTGAGGCCTGTCGCAAACGCAGGCCCGGACCAGCGCTAGAGAGCGTGCTTTTAGCGCGAGTATTTAAGCCAGATGGGGGTTTACGGCGCTTCATTCTCAAAACCTCTCACTAGCCACAATCATGTATACACACATAAAAAACAATAATTTTGTACATTAATGTTTTTTGTTTTTCTATGTGTCGTGTAGTGCAGTAAACTACGCTTATCTCAAATGCTGCTGCGTTTGCTATTTTGCCAGCGTTTTTTTGTTCTTTGTTCTTTTTAAGTTCGTTTATGTGATTTCTTTGTGATAGTGCTACCAGAAAAGTGTAAACGCCAAAATGAAAATAACCACAGGATCATCGCTGAAAATTCAGCAGGGAAACAATAAATACCAATATTGGGCTGCCTTTTCCGGTAAGAAATAAATTTTTTACATAACTTTATGTATACTAACTTACGTTCTAATGATTAAACTTTGTTATGTTACATTATATCCAAGCAATGAATTCCAAAAGTATGTTTTACCTTGTAATCAAGGTAAGACTGTTAAACAGTTTTTCTTAAAACAAAGACACATTAAATATTTTCTTGATTGTGTTTGAACATGTGTAAAACATGTATTATATGTATTAATTTTATATCGCTTCAGTTTTTTATTGCTGTTTCAAACTATTTAAATATAGAATGTTGGTACATAGTAAAAAAAAATAGTAATTGTAATTAAACTACTGAACGCTAAAAAGTTTCCAAGTCAATAAAGCAATCAAAACCGTTGCAAATAAATAAAAACTTTCATTTATTGAATTGAGATCGGTTTTAAATTTTATGCGCTTGCAAAACCACATGCTCGAATTAATCGTTTATTATATTTTGCAAATAGTGTTCTTATTTTAAGCATTGCCGCATGGATACTATTATATTTTGTATGCAAATATGTCAGTACGTCATGAATTTTAAATTACACTCACGCTTTGGCACCTTTCTTTGTGATTAACATTAATAAAAATAGCAGCATCGTTTTTAATTTGCAAATCTAGCCAGATGGTACATTATAGAGCAGGCGGAGAAAAACAATATTATTGCCGAGTATACATTTTAATGCTGAGGCGCCAGCCGAGGCAGTGGGTTGTGTGCCTTTGCAGCCGTGTTTTGTATACTATTTTTTAGCACTTCAAGAACATTTCCATATGATTCAGTCACATTATGTTTAGGTTAGCTTCAACTGACGTCAGCTTAAAATGATGTGACAGAATCTTATATATCTTACTATAAAGGTCTTAATTTAGAACACAAAAAATACATATCGGTACACGTGTACTTTATGTCAAAATTTAACAATAATTTCATGATTTTAAAATTAAAAGAAAGCTTACTCCTTCCCCTAAATTTGGATGTATATGATAAAATGGGATATAGACATTTATTTAAAAAATTAAAGGGTTAAATAGCGCATGGACCGTACGTCGAGCAGCGGTTTTCGATCATAAGTGAATAAATTAAATAAATAAATAAATAAATAAATAAATAAATAAATAAAGGTCTAAGAATGTTTGCAATCATTTGAACATATGTAGAAATGTGTGTTTATGTTATATAAGTTTAAATTAATATTTATTAGATTTTTGTAGCAAAAAAATTTGAATAAATAAATTAACTCCCTCTCAATATACCTAATTACTAAGTATTATAATTTTATTTAAACATAAACTATTTTGAATGAAAGAAAGGTTTTGGACTTTCATTGTCTTAGTGTTTTAAATCACAACGTCGACAATGGAAAACCTTTATGTCATTTAAAATAGTTACCTATAGTTTCTTTTTGAATTATTACACTCAGAAAAATGTACATAGGTACCCTGATAATAAAACTAATTTTGTTAGCGATTAATAAAATAATATTATTTAACTTAAATTTAAAATTGTAATGGCTATAAAAAAATGTACCACACAATGAACTTTTTTTATTAAATTTTCAGTGTCTTATTGGGACAATAATAATAATAATAATATTTACTATTGTTTTGCAATGGTAACAAAATTTTTTCTTATTTCCCTTAAAAAGAGGGGGAAAGGGCCAGCGCTCTCATTGGTGAACATAACTTTATAATCCACAGTCTGTGTTATAATCTTATTAATTTCACTTGTGCGAGTGAAGTGTGGTAAAATCTAGCATGATAAAAATATCAAAAAGATCACTAAGAAAATTAATATTTCAAAGAAATATTTATGGTCTATTTCAGTGAGTTTATGTTTTTTTTATTTTGTAGATTATATAATTTATTTAATTTTTTTGTTATAATAAATAATTTGTTTTAATGCCCAGTTATTTAAAAAAACTACCCAACACCCAACAGTAGGTTGAAAATGTGACCATTGTTACAATGAAAATAGTTTATTAAATTAAGAATTAATTTGTTGTTAAATTTACATAAATTATATTAATATTATAAAAAAAAGTTTTATTTTAAACGAAAAGGGATTTGTAAAATTTACAAAATTTCTATGAATAATTCGTTTTTGTAAACAGTATAGAACTGTTTAAAATTTACTTTATAATTAATGCAAATGCTATTACTGAAAGCAGCGTTTGTAGATAAATAATTTTTATAAAAATGATCTTTTTGACATAACAAAAGCAATTGTTGGACGAATAGGGATCTTTACTTTATTAAGACAAACTACTTTTTTTGTTATATTTATTTAAAAAAATTCTGAGTGTATACCTAGTAATTTGCGTATACGCAAATATTAAGAGGAAGATATTATTAAGTTATTTATTAAGAGTGTTTAATTTTTTACTATAAATTCCATAATTAATATTGATTTAAACGTACATACCTACTTATACAAACTTATACATATATAACATAAACATAAATATTTCTAACCATGTATAAATGATTGCAGAAAATGTTAGACCTAAATCAGTATTAATAATAATAATAATAATAATAATTATAAATGTATAATATAATACATTATAGTATATTATACAGTAACCTGCTAAAGTATGGAACACATTAATTAAAAAGTGTGCTTTTTTCCTCAAAAAATTCCTTGAAAAAATCGATTTTGCCTTTTAATTCCGCACATTGTACTCCATCTTCTTTTTGCAAATTCGAATAGATTATGAAATTCTGAATTCAGCAATATGCACATTCATACCTTTTGGGATGATAGTTTTGGGGATTATTATATTTAAAAGTTTGTGTCCAAAAAAAAATTTTTTTCTTCACGAAAATTATTTAGTGCGGAGGTGCCTCGTCCTGTTGAAACCAAATGGTATCACTTATCACGTAGATCGAGACCTCCATTCTCATTGGGAACATTTCTGCTAATGTGGGAAGAAGAGAGTTTTGTAAAAATTCCAAATACGTTGATCCGATTTTCCACACAAAAAAAAACGCTAGCATAGCATGAATGGGTGAGCCATTAAACCAATGGGATCTTGTAATCCGTATTCCTGAATAACAGTTCCTATAATACCAATAGGTAGTAAGCACTTGGTTTATAATCGTTTACTGTTTTTAAATTAACAACAAAAGTTATCGCTCCTAAATCTATTGATATTCATATTGATATTTATTTGTTAGAATGGTAGAATGTTATTGCATTACATAATAATTTCATTTATTTAATAACGTTACTATTGTATGTATACTATGTATACATTTAACGCAATAAATTCTTTGACATTTAGGCAATATATTTCCCTATTTTGGTTTAATAGTAATTAATTGAGCAAATATCAATTTAGATTGCTTCAATTTTAACACATTCAATGACAGCGCTGTTCTTGGTACTTGGTTAGATTTTTTTCTGTGCACCCTTCCTGTCTAGACATTCACTTTTTGCCGGTGTTGGGAAGAGTCATGAAGAAGGTAGGACGGGAGGGATAGACATTTTGGTGTTAGGGGACTATTACGCCGACTTAAATCTAAGTACGACGCGATAAACATTTGGCCCAAATGATTTGGGATTACTATATGGAGTTCGAGAGTTGTTATTTTGCTCCAAGTAGTTTTTTTATGTTTATTTCGGAAGTAGTGCGAAATTTCAAACAATTTTTTAGTTATTGTGTTGCCCAAGCACGTTAGTCATGTTCGCTGAGTTTGGATTTTAAGTATCTGTTCGTTTTGATCTCGTTTGGTTCATTTTGTTGGGTCCGTTCTCTTAAATTAATGAGTTCATTGCCTTACACGTGCGTGATGATAGATTTATTGTCCTACTCAGCTTTCGTTTAAATTACCTTAGGATGGGGCGGTTTTTGGTCATTATTTTTGGTGTTTGCTTACCATTGTCTTACTGATGTTACTATTGTTACTGATGCACTTTGTTCACTCTATGTTTTTTCTAGAGTTTAAGCAAATTTGCACTGCCTAACCGTCGTATCCAATGTTGCTAATTATGTGTTAGGTCTTGCAGATGTTTAAGGTTACTTATCCGTTATGCAGATGGCCCATTCCTCCCTTGTATGTCTTTTTTTGTCTGTCTCGTGATAATCGTCCAATTGACAGGTGGTAAGACCACCCTGTAGCTGACACTTATCATTTCACACTTTCTTGAGAGTAGGGTAGTCTATACTCAGTATAGATGTTACACTATATTTTATTTGCACTTTTGTAATTATTTGTGGGTTTTAAACTTTTATGTTTTAAGAGGTCGCTAAGCTAGACGTCTTGCTTTGACGAGTATTAGTACGTGACTGAAATATTTGTTTTAAATTATATGCTAACAAAAAATATAAAATAAAAAACTTCCATATATCGACACCTACTTTTTATTGAATAACAAAAAACAATAATTTTTAGAAAGGTTATAAACATTTCTTCTATAAACACTTTTTAATTTTATCAAAATCCCATTAAAAAGTCTTTTACTTAATAAAAATTAATTGCCTCGCACCCAATCTACTGCTTTGGTTGGCGCCTCGGCAGTGAAATGTTTGCTCGGCCAGGTACTATTTTTCATGATATAGTATTGATTTATTGCCTTAATTTCAGCCACCCTGACCATCGTGACGAGCGGCATGCACTACGGATGGCCTTCTCCTTCGCTCGAGCAACTTCTCCACGGTAACTCCACGCTGCATCTGACCCAAGACGAGGGATCGTGGATGGCCGTGATGCCTCTGCTGGGCGCCATCGTCGGCAGCCTGATAGTAGGCACCACCGTGGACATCTTGGGCCGGAAACGCACCATCATTCTCACCTCGTTCCCGTTCTTCGCCGCCTGGATCATGATCGCGTACGCGAACTCCCCGCTCGTGCTCTACATCGCCAGGTTCATCGCCGGCGTGGCCGACGGTTGGGCCTTCACCGCCGTGCCGATGTACATCGGGGAGATCGCCGATCCCAGCATCAGAGGTAAGCTGGGTTCCGGCGTCTCCGTCGCTTGGATTTTCGGAATGTTATTGATCAACATCGTCGGTTCCTATTTGAGCATTCGAATGACGGCTTTGATATCGTCCGTGTTGCCTGTCCTCGGTCTGATCACGTTCATGTGGATGCCTGAATCGCCTTACTACCATTTGATGCGCGGCAAATACAACGAAGCCAAACACAGCTTGCAAACTTTCAAGGGGATGTCGGATGTGGACGCGGAACTGTCAAGGCTATCGAATGCAGTGAAGTCGCAGACGAGAAACACTGGTAAATTCCTGGACCTCTTCACGAAACCCAGCAACAGAAAGGCCGTCGCCATAATGACGATATTGAGAACCGCCCAGCAACTAAGCGGCACCACTGCCATCACATTCTACGCCAAGATGATTTTCAAAGAGGCTGGTGACGACATCTCCTCCGAATTAGCCACCATTATTTTTTTTTCCGTCCAACTAGTTTGCACCGTTGTCTGCTCCGGAATCGTCGATAGAGCAGGGCGAAGACCTCTCCTCATAATGTCCATAATCGGGTCTTCGTTGGCTCTATTTGTCGAAGGAACCTACTTTTACCTCAAACTGTCCACGAACTACGATGTAAGCGCGTTTTCCCTTGTCCCTGTGGCCGCTCTGATTGGTTACATCGTCATCTTCGGCTTGGGTATGCAATGCATTCCGATTTTGATGTTGGGAGAACTTTTTCCCGCCAACGTGAAGGCGTTTGCTTTGTGCCTGGCGGATATTTACTTCTGCATTATAGCCACGATAATATCGAAATTCTTCCAGATCATGAAAGATCATTTCGGGATATATTTTCCGTTCTACGCCTTTACGGCCAGTGGCTTGCTGAGTTTGATATGCATGTACATTTTTGTGCCTGAGACCAAAGGAAAAACTTTGGAGGATATTCAGAAGATACTGAAAAATGAAGAGGAAGATGAGGATAAGGACGGTGATAAATGCGTGGAGCTCATCGAGAAAGCTTAAAGCAATTTATAAACTAAAAAGGCTGATTGATGATTACCTAGATTTTATTTAATTAATTGCCATATAGTTAATTTAACAAGTACAAAATATTTTTATACTGTGTATGATTTTTATAAAATAAATATTTAAAAATTTGGTTTTATTTTGTTGGTTAAGATAAGATTGGGGACACATTGGCACATTCATTTTATAATATTTTTGGCAACAAAGAAAATGTTTAGTTTATTCTCAAAAGTATTAAGCAACCTACATTTATTTCTTAAAAGGTAACACTATTTAATTTGTTAATTTATTTTAAATATTTGGCACAAACAAATTATAAAATAATACACGCTTTTAAACTGCCGTCCCACATCAGACTTATTTTGAAAATTTTGAAAATTGTTGCCAATCCCAACATCAGAGGTAAGCTGGGTTCCGGCGTCTCCGTCGCTTGGATTTTCGGAATGTTATTGATCAACATCGTCGGTTCCTATTTGAGCATACGCATGACGGCTTTGATATCGTCCGTGTTGCCTGTCCTCGGTCTGATCACGTTCATGTGGATGCCTGAATCGCCTTACTACCATTTGATGCGCGGCAAATTCAACGAAGCCAAACACAGCTTGCAAACTTTCAAGGGGATGTCGGATGTGGACGCGGAACTTTCCAGGCTATCCAATGCAGTGAAGTCGCAGACGAGAAATACTGGCAAATTCCTGGACCTCTTCACGAAAAGCAGCAACAGAAAGGCCGTCGCCATAATGACGATATTGAGAACCGCCCAGCAACTAAGCGGCACCACTGCCATCACATTCTACGCCAAGATGATTTTCAAAGAGGCTGGTGACGACATCTCCTCCGAGTTAGCCACCATTATTTTTTTTCCGTCCAACTAGTTTGCACCGTTGTCTGCTCCGGAATCGTCGATAGAGCAGGGCGAAGACCTCTCCTCATAATGTCCATAATCGGGTCTTCGTTGGCTCTATTCGTCGAAGGAACATACTTTTACCTCAAACTGTCCACGAACTACGATGTGAGCGCGTTTTCCGTTGTCCCTGTGGCCGCTCTGATTGGTTACATCGTCATCTTCGGATTGGGCATGCAATGCATTCCGATTTTGATGTTGGGAGAACTTTTTCCCGCCAACGTGAAGGCGTTTGCTTTGTGCCTGGCGGATATTTACTTCTGCATTATAGCCACGATAATATCGAAATTCTTCCAGATCATGAAAGATCATTTCGGGATATATTTTCCGTTCTACGCCTTTACGGCCAGTGGCTTGCTGAGTTTGATATGCATGTACATTTTTGTGCCTGAGACCAAAAAAAAAACTTTGGAGGATATTCAGAAGATACTAAAAAATGAAGAGGAAGATGAGGATAAGGACGGTGATAAATGCGTGGAGCTCATCGAGAAAGCTTAAAGCAATTTATAAACTAAAAAGGCTGATTGATGATTACCTAGATTTTATTTAATTAATTGCCATATGTAGTTAATTTAACAAGTACAAAATATTTTTATACTGTGTATGATTTTTATAATATAAATATTTAAAAATTTGGTTTTATTTTGTTGGTTTAGATAAGATTGGTGGGCACATTGGCACATTCATTTTAAAATATTTTTGGCAACAAAGAAAATGTTGAGTTTATTTTCAAAAGTATTAAGCAACCTACATTTATTTTTTAAAAGGTAACACTATTTAATTTGTTAATTTATTTTAAATATTTGGCACAAACAAATTATAAACTGCCGTCCCACATCAGACTTATTTTGAAAAATTTTAATATTGTTATTTGGCCCAAATAAAAATTAAATATTTGGTTTTTTGCTGACCAAAATAAAACAATAAGCTCACGCGACAGCCAAACTTTTTCAGTTCAGTTGAGATAAGATACTGAAAGATTGTGTTTGTTTATCAAGTGGTCCTGACTGAATTTAGATGACAAAGACAACAAAGATTTACTTTTAGCAATTAAAAAACAAAACCGAGTGCTTTTAACCTTGAATAGTGACGTATCTGGCTAGGCGGAATTCAATTTCAGCGTTTCAGCACAAAGCCAGCGGCGGATTCCTGACGACTCTCTTCCTGAAAAGCTGAAAAGATCTAGTTGTGGAAAATACACACGCTCAAACAGTCGTTTGGCAGTTGTTTAATCGATTCTTTATTCGACTTTGACTTTGAACTTCAAACTTTTCACCTTTTTATCGCGTGTAATCTAAAATTAGAGTTTATTAAAGGTAAGAGAAAAATTTCAGATAAATATTTTCTATTTTCTTAAAATTTATGTATGTGACAAAAATATTTATTTATGTTTCCCACCTAGAAGCCTTGACATTGAAGCATCTATTTTCATAGAATACTCGTGTGTTTTTTAAATTCACACGTGCACTATATTAAATTCCCGCAAATTTTCATACTCGAAACTAAAAATAATTCAAATCTTAATAATTAATTACATTACGGTTGGGTTGTACAAAATACGAATTTGAATTAGAAATAAATTTAAATGGATTTTTTGTTTATTTTTCTAAATCACAAACCTTTAATATTTTAGGGGAAAAATCCATGAAAATAAAAAACACACACAAAATCTTTATTAAACAGTTATAAATTTTGTCTTTAAATTCAAAAAAGTATCATTATTTGGAATTTTATTATTTCAAAATTGTTTTTAGATTATAAATAAATAATTTAGATGATACTCAAGTAAAAAAAGCCAACTTACGAAATAACAGACACTCTAATGTACAGTACGTGCATATGTATGTATACGTATAAGATTTTATGTTTTCATAGTTGCATATATACAACATACAAATTATTTTTTTAATTAATCTACGACTATTTAACTGGTATTGAGTTTATAATATTGCCGTTGGATTGCTTATTTAAAATTCACATGCTAGTAAGAGTGCCGATAACTGCTTTATTCTACAGTATTATAAACTTATTTGTAACCATTTACAAAATTGGCGAATGCGCCGAGAAAGATGGCAATTCTGTAATATTTTTGTTTTTTAAATGGCAAATGGCGCATTTATTGATAAGATTCAACTTTATTTTAATCTGGTTACTTTAATTTTAATTTACCTATAAACAATAAAAACATTTTGGTTTTTACTACATGTTATATTTTTAATTACATTTATACATGGTGATTCACCTAACTTATTCATTAGAAGTTTATGGAGAACGGAAAGTGATATCAACTTTGTTTTTTCAGATGGAACCATATAAATATGGTATTTTTAAATTCTACTTTAAATTCTAGAAATACCAAAATTTGATTTTTGGCGTAGGTACCTGTTAATTAAGAAGCATATGTCAAAATTTATTGAAAAAAATTAAAAATGTATTTCAAAAACAAAAAATGTATCGAATTTTAATGTTTTTAGAATTTTACTTAGAATTAAATGGTTTCATATGAAAAACGAAAGTTGATTTCAGTTCCGGTTTTACCGCATTCAAAATAATTTTTAAAAAATTTACATTGCCTTATCTTTTTCCGTTCTCCATAAACTTCTAATGAACAAGTTAGGTGAATCACCCTGTATATTATTGGTTTTTCGAAGAAAAGTCCTGATAAATTTTTGATCGTCAAAATATAACATTGGCATAAAAAAAATTAAATTTTAACGAAAGGGTGTTCAAAAATTAGGAAAACATGAAATCGATTAAGGATATTATATTATTTTTAAATAAAAATTTTATAAGAAAAAGTTGGTTCTAATTAAAAACGTAGTCAGTATACAATAATTAAGAAATAAATTATAAAGTTGATTTTTCTTTGTTTTTTCCAAAATCCAGTTTGTTTATATAATCATTTTTAATTTTTCGAAGAAATAATTTATCTTATACGACCTACAATTCTGCGCGCTTAAAATTGCCCATTAAATTTATAATTTCCCTTGTAATTTTTGTATACAGACTTCATTTTTAATTACATACATAACAACATTAAAAAATATATATAAATGAAGGTAGATAAAATACAAATTTTTTTGTCAATTTTTTCTACTGTAAATTTTTTTTAACAAGAATAAAAAACAAAAATGTTTGACTTCTGTAAACTCAATTTAGGGACATACTGTATAATTAAAATAATTACAAATTTCTATTCTAGGTATAAACCTACTAGGGTGGCCCAAAAAAAAAAGAATATTTTTTTTTCGTCTCTTGAAAATATGTTGGTTTGTCATGTTTTAAGAGCCCTGTCAAAAGATCAGCTCCATTAAAATTTTTTAGGGGTCGCTCAAGATTTTTAAAAATTGGGTTTTTTTTATTTTAATTTTTTTCTCGTTCCGATTATATTTTTTAAATTGAAAATAATAATGATTGAAAGGTCGCTCAAGATTTTTTTAACTTTCAAAGTAGAGTATTTTGAATGTTTTCAAGCGACCTCTGAATATAAATATCAACTTTTAGCGACCTTTACAAATCAAAATATTGATTTGAAATTTACAGAATTTTTATAATTTTCAACCTAAAAACTAATATGAGACGAGAAAAAAATTAAAATAAAACAAAAATTCAATTTTTGACGATTTTGAAAATTTTTAAAAATCTTGAGCGACCCCTAAAAAATTTTTTATCGAGCTGATATTTTGACAGGGCTCTTACAGCATGATAAACTAACATATTTTTACAAGAGAAAAGAAAAAAAATATTCTTTTTTTTTTGGGCCACCCTAACCCAGGTAGCAGTCTGACGTATTTAACACCTCGTTTACCTCGTTTACCAATGACGTCTTTTTTGACGTAAAAAAGACGTAATTTTAAGATGTCTTTGTAGGTGTAAAAGAGGCGTCAATTTACTTTATTTTTTAGTTTCAGCAATATTCAAATCTGCACACTTTCAAAAAGATTTAGGTGCAGAAAAGACACTTTTTCTTGTAATTGGTCTGTAAAATAAGCAATCCAAATATTTGGACAATTTAATGAAATTGCTAGTAATTACTAATATTTATTTAAAGGGTTAACAAAGGCCACATATGTGATATATATCACTTTTAAAAAAATATAATATTACTAGCAATTTCATCGATTATTTCAAAAAGGTAAATTGCTTAGTTACAGCTCAATTGCAAGAAGAATGTTATAATTATACCCCTATGATGACCAAACTTTAGTGTATTTTCTTGTATCTGTTTCATGGTTGTGTAGGATGCTCTTGTCTTTTTCTTCTTTTGTAAGTCCGATGGGTTAAGAGTAATCAAAATCACTCACGTTCAAAGACAATTTCTTTGCTCACGTTGTTTGTTGTATCATGACCCACGTTGATGTCAAATAATATCAACGTTGCGACGTAGCGGTTGGTTAGTGCACATGATTAATAGGGGTAGGCAATAAAAGTTTTATCTTTTGAAATTTGATCTAAGTAATTATATATCGAATTAATATATTATTATTAATAATAATAATAATAATAGTTTAAATATTTATTTTTATAGAAAATAAAAAAAGATTTATTATAGATATGACCAAGCAAACTTTTAATGCAAGTATGTTGAATAGGTCATTGAATAAATTCCACAGATTTATTTTGTGTATTTTATTAATATAAAAATTATAAGTAAATGGTGGGTTACAGTTTTACAAACGTTCACTTTGAGTCTCAAAGTTTGAGAGTAATCTTCAGACTAACTATTAAAAGACATCACAGATGCCTTGCTTACAAAAAACTACCTGAAAGATTATTATTTTTCTAAGAGAGGTACATTTTCTTTGTAACGAGAATTACATGACAAAATATTTTTCCAAAGGTTTAAGTACTAATGTCGGGGAAAAACTAGAATACAATAAACTGAATATTTGCACTATACAATAATTTTATTGTTTCGTTATCTAAATTACCTCTCTTTTACCTGACTTAATAGTACGAGCCCTAACCACATAATGTTCGGACACTTCATAATTTATACAGAAATTTTTTTCGTGAATACTATCTCAAAATTATTAGAAGTTATGAAAAATTCAGCTTATTTTGGCATATACCCCTCGAAGCGATTTTTATTTTTAAAAAGTTTACCTTTTATTTTTAGCTTTTAAAAAAAGGCTAACTTTTTAACTTTTTTTTGCATGAGTAAAAAAAGTTATAAATGGGCCCATTAAAAAGAACATAAAATATTATACAAACCCTGAAAATTTGGTAAAAATTGTATAAATAATAAGAAAGTTATAGCGATATATATATCTGCAAAATCTCCCGTTTCCTAAGAAAATTGCAAAAACTCTTTAAAAATAGCATTTTTAAATTACTTATACTTTTTTATAACTTATTTATTTTTTACCAAATTTTCAGGGTTTGTATAATATTTTATGCTCTTTTTAATGGGTCCATTTATAACTTTTTTTACTCATACAAAAAAAAGTTAAAAAGTTAGCCTTTTTTTAAAAGCTAAAAATAAAAGGTAAACTTTTTAAAAATAAAAATCGCTTCGAGGGGTATATGCCAAAATAAGCTGAATTTTTCATAACTTCTAATAATTTTGAGATAGTATTCACGAAAAAAATTTCTGTATAAATTATGAAGTGTCCGAACATTATGTGGTTAGGGCTCGTAATGTTGTAAAATAACATTCAAAATATATTTAATATTTTAGCTAAAATTCAACAAAGTAATTTTTTGCATTTGTAAACATAAAAGAATATAATATTAAAAGCTTTATTAGCGGGCTTTCAACTATGATAATCGTTTTTTCTTAATAATTATAATTAATATAACAATTATAATTATTATAATATTATTTATATTTATAAGAAAAATATTTTCATGTCTTATATTAAATTCGACCCCACTATTTTTAAAATATCAAATGTTACGTGTACAGGGTGGTCCACGTAAGGTGACCCATATACTTATCTCAGAAACTACTGGAGTCACAAAAAAATTGTAAGGAACAAATATTCACGAAGTAAAAAATATTTTTAAAATATTATATTTTCATTTATACAGGGTGTTCGGTTTTCCTTGGGACGATACCAACTTTCTTATTTTCAATTATTATTATTATTTTTTATATTATGTAGCATTAATCTCTTTAATAATAAGTAAGCTATAAGTTAATTAATTTATTTTTTGGAAAATATTATACAGGGTGTTTTCTTTGAATAATGAAAATTTAACTAAGGTAATCGGAAAAAAGCTACTAATTGTGAAAAATGCGAATATTTTTTTTTCTGTTAGGTTTAGGTTTAGGACATAAATATATAAAATGAAAGGTAATTACTTATTCTATCCAATTATGCAAAAATATATAGGGTGTTTCATTGAAGAAAAACAAGATTTTAAACTTTTAAAATCGCTATTTTCAACGGGACATAGAAAACACCCTGTATGATATTTTCCAAAAAATATAATAATTAACTTATAGCTTACTTATTATTAAAGAGATGGATACTACATAATATAAAAAATAATAACTTTTAGTTGATTATTTTTAACTTTTAGCGAGCGTCTACATTTAGAGAAATTTTAATAAAACTTAATTTTACTCAAAAAGTATTAACATTTTCTTAATTAATATATTTACAAAGTATACCTAAAAGAGTGGGTAGAATCCAAAAATGCAAAAAAATAAGAAAGTTGGTATCGTCCCAAGGAAAACCGAACACCCTGTATAAATGAAAATATAATATTTTAAAAATATTTTTTACTTCGTGAATATTTGTTTCTTACAAATTTTTTGTGACTCCAGTAGTTTCTGAGATAAGTATATGGGTCACCTTACTTAATTTTAAAAACGTGTTTTATAAACATATTAAAAAGTAGTGTACAAACGTATTAAAACGTAGTATACACGCAAATGTTACGCGTAACATTTGCTATGACGTAAGTCAAAATTATAATTTTCTATAGACGGGATGGTTGAAAAATATGACTAAAATCTGACGTGTTTATTACGTAACAACTATAACGTATAATATACGTCTTAAAACTACGTTATGTTGACGTCATATCGCGACAAGAAGACGTCAGATGACGAAAAATCCCCAATATTCGACGTGTTAAATACGTCAGCCTGCTACCTGGGAATACCTACATATCTATTTTAGTTTTTTTTTAAAACACCCAGTACATTTTTTGCCAATACAAAAAACTAATAAAATTTATTTTATGGACATGCAAAATTAACATTAAATAAAACGGTAGTAAAGATAAAGTTTTTAGTAGATATTATTAAAATAAGTCATTTGTAAAACTTATTATTAACTAGGTAAATATTATTACTTAAAAAAATCTTGCAAGTTTGCGCTTCTTAAAATTCAGTAGTAAATAAATTAATTTTTATCGTGATTACCTACGCTTGTTACGTAGGTACGAATAGAAAATAAGAGAAGACGGCGGACGGATGGACACTTCGATCCTATTAGCAAGCGGCATAGGCGGCCTTGAATCCTAGCTGAGCTGAGCAAGTCTTTATTTTTTCAGTTTCCATTTTCAGAGGGTACTGATCAGTTGGCACCAGTACAACAACCAAAGTGCTCGCACATGCCGCTCGCTACCAACTGAAAAATATATCGACGAAAATATGGAAGCAGCCAAAGTTACGGGTAGCCCAATTTTGCAGTACATGGCTGCTGCTTCAGGTAAGTTTTTTATTTTTATTAATTCATTTTGTCAAATTATTAATTTTTAAAAATGTACATATTTTTATAAATGTAAATGTATTTTTATAAATATATATTTTTAATATTACTTCAAATCCTAATAATGCAATTCATGAATAACAAAAATCGTTTAATCTCAGACAAATAATTGAAACGCTTAGTGTTAATAGGTGACAATACAAAAAATCAATTTGTTTGGAATAAAGATATTGAAGTTTAAAAAAAATCTGAAAATCTGCAATTACAATTTATTATTTTTCCTTTAAAGTGCCTACATTTTTAAATAATAATTTTGAGATTTTTCTAAACAAATTAATTTTGTGTCACATTTTTCTTTGGATGGGCCCTTCAATTAAAATGATTGCACAGTGGGCTAGAGAGCCAATTTAACGTGCAGAAATTATTTGTTTAAGTAATTCTTAGTTAATGTTTATTTTTTTGGTATAATTGATGAAATTTTAATAAAAATTAATTTTTTCTACTCCCACCTTTAAAACGCCCTTTATCGTACATGTTCCCATGACACTAAGTTACCTTTTAAATACACATTGACAAGTTGTGGCTTTATGGCGTTTTAGTCACGGGCTGAAGTTAGTTTTAAGTTAGTTGACAGTTGTCAAATGTCATACAATCGTTAAAATAAGTGCCTTTCTTGTAAAATAATACTAAATGTGACAATTATTTTGTTATCTCAAAACAAAAATACAAAAGTATTAAATAGTTTCTCAATGCCAATATTTGAAAAGTTTATATGAACATTGTACTGACCTTTTAATTTCGCCGGCAGTAAACTATAACTTAAATTCGGGCACGGACTCCACTGTAAAGTCCTCATAAAACATTTTCTTTACTTTCACTGTGAAAAATGTCAATTTTCAAGAAATACATTTCGATTCGATTTCGATAACCTTTATAATCTGTGTTTATAAAATAATAAAAATGTGACATTTGACGGTGACACACAAATTGTTTCATAGATGGCGCTCTATACAAATTTTTGATTTAAATCATTTTAAGATAATAATAAGTACCTATTTGTCGTAGAAAAAGTATAGTATGCACCTCGTTTATAAACTTTTCTATACACTCATTAATTTAAGCACTCGCTCGCAAGCTCGCTTGTGCCTAAATTAAATTCGTGTATAAAATGGTGTTTATCAAACTTGATACATAATATACTATTTACTACCAATACAAAAACAAATCCACAATATAATTCTCTAACAGCAAAATTATCTTTGTCTCATGGCAGAATATAATTTTAATGAGTAAATTACAAAAATATAACTTAACATTTATAAAATAAAACCGAATTCTTACGTATGACAGTATGTAATACAATAATATTTCTTCTGGGCTTCCAGCGTTTTTCTATATTTAAAAAAAAAAAATTTTTTGAATTAAGTTTTTTTTTTAAATACATTTATTTTTTTTAATGGATAATCTACTAATAAGTAATCTAAAACTAAATTTTTATTAAAATGTTTAAAACTAAAAATATTTTTGGGGCGTAGGTACCTACTAGCACTTGATTTTACATTTATTTGAAAGACAGAACAGTAAGCTATTAAAAACACTTAAACACAGAGTGTGAGAATGCTCTTTCTTTATTGACGTAGTACAATGATAATAAAAACTTACCATTATTTGTTCCAGCGTATGACAGTATTGAATACAAGGTGGTAAAAAATTAAGAATAAATTAGAGATAAACACTGTAAGAGAAGCAATACATTCATGCGCAATTTACCAACACAAAGCAAGTAATTATAATTCTTAAACTTTGACTGGTTACCTGATAAAAATTCAACAGATTTGAAGGTTATATAACGTTATTTTATTTGCTACAGATATATTTATATATAATTATATAATTCAAAATTCACTAAATTTGGTTTTGAATTTCCGCGCGCCGAATTCCAGCGCTCTCTATAGATCTGGCTATAGCCTACCGCGGTGGTGGTAAAAATTATTAATATTTACTAATAGCTAATAGTAATTAATTCAAAATTATTCATTGTTATTAGTAGCTTTTTAATTGATGGTTTCCATAACCAACATATGACAGTATTTAATACATGATATTTCTTCTGGGCTTCCAACGTTTTTCTATATTAAAAAAAAATATATTTTTTTCAAGATACTTCTATTTTTGTAACTTTATATTAAAATGCTTCAAACTAAACCACTTTTCACATAGCTCCGTATGAGTTAGGGATAATGTATTAACTGAAAAAAATAAACAAAACATATTTGTTGCGCCTACTAGCACTTGATTTTAGATTTATTTGAAAGACAGAACGGTAAGCTATTAAAAACACCTAATCACAGATTGTGACAGTGCGTGAAATTTTTTAAAAACTTAGTATTGTCTATACATACATTAAAAATTTGCAGCGGTTACTTTATTGATGTAATGACAGTATAATAATAATAAAACTTATAAAAAAAGTATAAATAAATTAGTAATAAACATTGTAATAGAAGCAATACCTTTACGCGTAATTTACCATCACGAAGCAAGTAATTATAATTCTTAAACTTTGACTGGTTACCTGTTAAAAATTCATCAGATTTGAAGTTGTTTCATTATCTACAGATATTAAAAAAATCAAAATTCCATAAATTTTGTCGAAATAAAACACTTACTATTGCGCGCTGGATGATCTCTCTAGCCTACTGTGGATTGGTTAGAAACTGTTAGTATATGTTTTGTAATGACCACTTGAAAATGCATAATCAAATTTTTATGCATGCGGGTATTCGATTCATTAACAGTTAGGTACATATATACATATATGTATATATATATGTATATTAAAAAACACTTAAAACGGGCCGATCATCATGCTCTTTTTGTTATCTACAAGCACCATCACTATTTTAAGAGTCTAGTTAAAAATAAATATCTGTCTTAATTTGACTTTTAATTAATTAATTTCAAGTTTATGCATATTTATTTAAATATTGGTAAAATTGGATATAATAACTATTGCCAAAGAGGTAAATTTAAAAAACTGAATTTATAATGTGAAATTACGTTTAAATTTTATATTTTTAATGTAACTGATTTTTTTCAAAACGTAGGGACACGTGCGGAGTCACTACATTTAATTAATTGTGTTAATAGTAGGAAAACTACTGATGTTACAAACTAAAATAAAGAACTCGTTAATTGATCTTATTTAACAGCGATTAACATGTAAATTAAACAGTGTTTTTTCGAGCAATGATATCCGCATTTAAATAAAGGTTAAACAAAAAGCATACAAATTTACTTTATTAGAAATCAGTTAATTTCTTTCATTATAAACATCACTAACACTACACTTGATAGAAAGTCCACAATTATCGGATAAGTGTCAATTTTTATTTAACACAGATAAGTTAATCATTATAAAATTATACCTACCTATTCGATGGGTAAGTAGTTTTTGGAAATGATTAATTTATTAAGTGGACCTAATAATAAAAATTTCTAAGAATAATACATTATATTGTCATCAATAAATTTGTTGTATATATACTCTCTAAAAATGAAATAGTCAAGATTCTACTATTTGAATTAGTACCAGCATTTTTTTCTAATGAAATAGTCGTTTTCACTTTTAAATAGTTATTTTTTACTACGTAAATAGTTAAAGTGACTAATTTATCTTTGACTATTAGTTAAAAGTAACTAATTTCTTTAATCGTTTGCGCCAAACAACAAAGTATTATTTGAATTAAATGCATATACCTAAGCTCCATGGTTAAATAGCTGGCCATACACAGGCGTTATTTCGCGCGGTTTATCGTGGCGTGTTGGGATGTAGCGGTTAGTATGCACGAAAGAACGGCATGGCAAAAAAGGGTCATGTTCCATACACTTGATAAAGTATTCAAATGATTTAGCAAGTGATTGCCCGTGGTATATCAGTTTCAAAGGAAAAATCGTATGTGAGTGGGCAAAAAGTGTCATTTATCGAGTCGTTTGAAACTGCATGTGATCATGTACAAATTTTCAACGTAAAATTTTGCCAAGCAAAGGTAAACCGTGACGCGGAATGTGGCGTGTGGACACTCCACACTCCAGAGGAAAGCACGTCTGAAATCCCTTCCCGTTCTATCATTGCGCGCGGCGATACTCACTCACGTACATGATTTTCCATATGATTTTGCAGATAACACGATAAACCGCGCGCAATAACGTCTGTGTATGGCCAGCTAATGACCCATAAAAACAAATAAAGATTCAAAAAGTTTAGCTCAAAACAGCAACACAAATAATATATTCAACTTTAAAATATTATGAACAATATTTATTGACAAATAAAATTGATTTTTATAAGAGCGGCTGATAGCCGAATAGGTTATGACAATAGCTTGACAAGTAACAGACCCGAATTCAATACCCGGCTGGGTCAAAACTTTTTTTAAATTTATATCTACTAATTTGACTATTTCATTCAATAGAATTCACTAATTATTAGTGACTGCTTTTTTTTTTGTAATTGTTTAATTTCATTTTCTTATGTTAAAAATTTAAAACTTTTTGTTTGGCTTTGCTCTACAATCATTTAAAGCTGATAAAACTATTTAAAAATCACCTTAAAAATGTTTTCAAGTAGTGCAAATTATAAAATTATCATATTTATATTTCAGGCACCCTGGCCATAGTAACTGATGGCATGCACTATGGCTGGCCGTCTCCATCCCTCCCCCAACTGGTAAACAGCACCAACAACACCTCCTCGATTTCAATCTCATCCGAAGCGGGATCATGGATGGCCGTGATGCCGCTGATTGGCGCCGTAGTGGGCGCTCTTACGGCCGCCTCGATTGTGGACCGTTTGGGCAGAAAGAAAACCATAATAGCCACCTTCGTTCCTTTCTTTCTCGCCTGGATGCTTATAGCTTTCGCCGGCTCCGCCATTGAGCTGAATGTTGCCAGGTTTATAGCCGGTGTTGCCGATGGTGTCACCTTTACGGCGGTACCGATGTATGTCGGAGAAATATCGGATCCGAAAGTGAGAGGGTTGCTGGGTTCGAGTTGTTCAGTAACCTGGATCATAGGGTTTTTATTGATTAACATAATCGGATCGTATTTGAGCATCAGCTGGACCGCCATCGTGTCTTCGTTCATCCCCCTCATAGCCTGCGTTACTTTTGTATGGATGCCCGAGAGTCCGTATTACCTGCTGATGAGAGACCGAGAGGCGGATGCCAAAGAAAGTTTAAGAAAATTCCGTAAGGTGCAGGATGTGGACGACGAAATCCTGCGGATAAAAGAGTCGCTTCAAACGCAGAAAAAAGACGGCAGCGGTAGATTCTTCGATCTCTTCACCGTTAAGAGTAACAGAAGGGCTGTTTTTATAATCGCGGGGCTCAGAGGTTTCCAGCAATTCAGCGGCACCACCGCAATCACTTTTTACACGCAGGAAATCTTCAAGCAAGCCGGCGATGACGTTTCCCCGCATCACGCCTCCATGATTTACTTCTCAGTTCAACTCCTCGTCACAATCATATCCTCTGGAATTGTGGATAAAGCCGGAAGAAGACCTCTTCTAATCATCTCAATGGCAGGTTCCGCATTCGCCTTATTCTTGGAAGGCACATACTTCTACGTGAAGACTGAAACTCGCATCAACATAAGTTCCTATAGTTTTATACCAGTCGTCGTTCTCATAGCGTTTGTGATTATTTTCAGTATCGGTATGCAGTCCATCCCGATTCTGATGCTGGGCGAATTATTCCCGACCAGCGTGAAAGCCTTCGCCCTGTGTTTGGCCGATGTCTATTTCAGCCTGGTAGCCACCATCGCCAGCAAGTTCTTGCAAATCATGAAAGACAATTATGGGATGTACTGTGCCTTTTACGGGTTTAGTATTTGTTCGGTTTTCGGCTTGGTTTTCATTTTGTTGTGCGTTCCGGAAACCAAGGGGAAAACTTTGGAGGAAATTCAAAACTATCTTCGCGGAGAAGAGCCCAAAAAGGATGTCGATTCCGATTGCACCAAGTTGTAAGATGTTGCTGATTTAATAGTTTCTCTCTTTAATTTTTATTTATTACCTGTACCTATTTATTTGATAATAAAGTTTTTTATTGTTAATTTTTTTAAGTTCAATTTCACCGAATAAAAAATGTATTGCCAAGTCCAATCGGAATGTTCTCCTTTCTTGGATTCAACAGGTGTAGATTATTCACGGCAATTCTCATGAATCATACTTTTATATTTAATCAATTACCTATATGATAGATAAAAGGGAAATAAAATCCTGTTAACAATAAATCAACATTTATTTATGTACAAACAAAAAAGTTAATAATCAATTTGATTTGTACCAGAATATGTTTTATAAACAGTATCTAAACTACATAAACTTTCTTTTGACTTAAAGCTAACCTAACTGCTTCTTCTTTTGATAAAATATTCAAATATTTTCTCGGTGTTCTAATATATACAACAATTTTCATGACCATTTACCTATAATTAAATAAGATAGAAAATCAAAATTTGGTTTTAGGGGCACTGATAATTATAATTACAATAAATAAATATCGAATTAAACCTAAACTGTTACCTTTATATAAACTTACAAATTTCTATTTTAGGTTTTTTTAAACTCTCAGTATATTTTTTGACAATACAGAACACTAATAATATCCATTCTATGGATATGCAAAATTTACATTAAGTAAAAACTGTTTTTAGTAGATATTATTAAAATTACCTACGCATTTGTAAAACTTTGTTTAACAATTAATATAATACAGTTATACCTAGGTAAATATCATCACTTTTATAAAATTCTTGCATTTCAGAAAAATCAGTGGTAAAAAAGTAAATTTTTATCGTGCTTACGCAGACCGCAATGAATCTGCCAAACCATTCCAGGAATATTCCCTAAAACTTCTGAATATCATGGCTCGTTCTTGAAATGTTCTTTGCAAATATTAGTAGAATATTTCGTCAAAACCTACTAGGAAGGTTCGAGTTCTTCCTGAAATATACTTATGTTCTGGAAATATTCCTTTTGAATATTAATGGTACATTCCATCTGAATCTACTACTAATGTTCTCATTCTTTCAGGAATAAACCATTTTGTTCTGGAAATATTCCCCAGGAATATTTAATAAATAAAAATAATGGCCATTTTTTAATCCCCTTTTCTTTAAATCGATAGCTATAACTAAACACACTCTATAGGGTGTGTGAATAATATCACAGAAACATTACCAGTAATGTTTCTTTAATGACATAGAATAAATTTCTCGGTTAACCGAAACGTTTTTGTTTCTAATTTAAAAATGTGGTTTGTTTAACTATTGCAAATTATTTAAAATAAATACCACTAATAAATTATTAATATTTTATTAAATTATTAGTAATATTACATAATAATGTAAAACCACATGTTGTCTTGGGGACAACTTTTTTGTTAAAAATAAACATTAAATATATAAATATCTAATTTTAAATTTTAAAGCCTTAAATAAACAAAAACAACACAAACTAAATATTAAAATTAATATGTAGTAGGTATTTATTTATTAACTTGAACTTATTTAATTCGTTTATTTATTTTCGATGTTAAATGTAAGTAAATAAGTTGGCTTTGTATTAATAGTCTGACTCTTTTTAAGAACTGTCAAACTTAAAATTTATTGAAATAAGTGTTCATTGCTAAACTTGTTGAACTTATATAAAAAAAGTTAGTTTTTATTTGTTAAATTAACTTTTTAATTGATTTGCCTATTTGTCCCACCCATCACAAAAAAAGCAAAATAAATTTGATTTTAAAAGAATTAATATTTTCTTAAAAGTAGATTGTAATAGCCAGTGGCGTAGCTAGCCTCGAGGGGGCCCCGTATCAAAAATTTGGTAGGGGTCCTTATACCGGAAAAGGTGCTGGCGTTACCCCGTGATATTTAATAAATCTAAATGAGTTTGACCTACACTTTTATTGTGATCTTTCATAATTAAGTAGCTCAGGTTCCAGATTTTTAACCGCAATTAATTATTTTTTACAATGTTTTAAAAGTCTAAAACCTATCCATCGAGACTGTTACTCTTTCTAGGTTAACCTATATGTTTTCAAATATCTGAGGTAGTAGCTTACTAAAAATATCAGTTCACTAAGTAAATTAAACACATCCAAAGCAATCGAATCAAATATAAAATATTATTAAAAATTTAAAGAAATAATTTTTATAACCATTTATGTAGGCGTTACAAAAATTGATTCTATCCTCCGTGAATCTGTTTTTGCTTTAAATTTTATGCAACGGATGGCGCTTTAATCATTTTAGAATTTATATGCAGATGAGAGTGTTGCTGTTTTATAATTCAAAAGTTTAAGTTCATTAATTTGTTATTTAAAAACCTATCCCCCGTGAAGTGTAATATCTCAGTAAGTAGATTTTTTTTATAAATATTTTATGTATGTACAATTGTACCTATTTTTAAAAAATATTAAGGTGTCAAAAGATACAATAACTTATTTCAAATATATTTTTTGAATTATTATAATTTGTCCCACCCGTCACACTATCGCGTGTTTTGTATTTTTTTAAGTTAATTTATTTAAAAATCAGTTATCAGTTTTTAATTTTAGTTTGTTCATTTTTCTTTTCTAGGTCATGCACAAATACTTTTTGTTGTTTTTCTCAAAACAGGAAAATGGCATATTCGCCCTTTTGCAAAAATACTATCGAGTTGTTAATGCAGGTGCAGTTGGTAAAAATTAAAAAAAAAAACAGTTTTTCTGCATCTAAATTTAATAAATAATTATAATATAATAATAAAAATGGCGTTGTTATATTTTTTTTGTCACCCTTCGAAAACCGAAATAAAAGAACTAGGGATTAAAAAATAAGGGCTAAAAGAGAAGAGAACTTCGGATTAACACTGTTTATTGAAAAACCGGTAAAAACTAAACCCAGGATTTCCTCTCGAAATACACCCAACAACGCAACAAATCGTGCCACGGTATTTTTCCCGATATTTTTAACATTTTCTGGCTTTATTCTCAAAAAACATTCGTTTGTAACATAAGCGTTTGACAGCTGAATATTAAAAGTTGTAGTTTTGTTACGATGATAACGGTCGAGTGGTGGCGCTACTAGCGATGCTTCTTTAGCGTATATACTAGTGAAGAGAGAATCGAATGATTTTTAGAATCGAATACTTTGCATTCGAATACTCTAAAGAATCGAATGATCATTCGAATGCAGAGAATCGAATAGTTTGTTCCGAATCGGAACCGATACTAGCCGAAAACATTTATTGAATGAATGTTTTCGGAACAAATTATTCGATTCTCTGTATTCGAATGGTCATTTTATTTCTTGTTTACAATTCGTTATGGACTGAGCGGGTTGGCTTTGCACTGGGTGCAATATAAATTCTAAACCGGCTGATATACCTACTAATTGATTTATGACATGTTTTCTTTATTTTTGACATAAAACATAAACTATATTATTTTTAATTTGTTTTATTTCAAAAAAAGTTTTGTAGAATAATTATTAGTTACTTTGTTTGTTACTTTTTTTATATATTTTTTCAGTTACTTTTTATATATTATTTTTTTAGATACTGGTTAAGCATGATTTATTTTTTATTATTTTGTTTGTCTTCCACCTTCCGCTCGATGACACTCAAGCGGTTTCGATTTGATTCGAAAGGTTCGAAGTATTCGAATACTTTGTTGAGAATCGAATGCACGCCAGAATCGAATACTTCGATTATTTGTATTCGAATAGTCCCTTCACTACTATACCCAAGCAGCATTTTAAGTAAAAGCGTAGAGCTTTGAGGCAATATTACTTAATTTAAGTAAATATTTTGTTAAATTAACTTTAAAAATTTACTTTGAAGTAAAACTTTTTTTAAAGTTATAATATAAGTTTTATTTATGTTATTTTTACGTATTTTAATAACCCTTAAGTTTCAACACTTTAAAGTATTATGAGGGACGTAATTTTAACGAAAGAAAATTACTTATAAGTGTATTTCACCTAAAGGAAAATTTAACGGTAATTTTAACGTCAGAATTTTTACTTAATGGTAAATTTTACTCATAAGTCATAATTTTACGATATTAAGACCACTTTATAACCGTAAATAATTCCTATTCGCCTGGTATTTTTTAGGGTTATTAGTGGGTAATAAATACTAATAATATTGACTAAACAAGGAAAAATAAGCTTAAAGTGAAAAATAAAACTTTGCGGGAATTTTTTTTTAGGCCGCCATAATGAGTTTTTTAAGATGGCATCCATTACTTATCTAAACATTTATATAATATTTTTTCATGAATATCTTTCTAAAATATAATAAGAAAAGTTTTAGTTATTAAAAAATGATTAAAACTAAATGATTTTTAAAAGATTTTATAAAATTTCGTAGGTTTTAAGTTTTGTTGAATTTTTACCCAAGCAATAATTTTTCTTAAAACCGTAAAATATTTAGAGGGCATATAATTTTTAAGACGTATCGTACCTATTTTTATCAATAAAATAATGTGCGTTTGAGTTTAATGCAAAATATCAATGGTTTTGACAATTTAAGTTATATTTTTTAATTTTACTCTAGGGTGGCCTTTATTACTTTGTAATTACTTAAGTTCCTACCATTTTGTAAAATATAAATTAAAAGAACAAAGAAATTACGAATATCAATGTTTAAGAAAGAGAGAGCAAACAGTTAGTAATTATAGCGTTATTTTTACGTAAATTTGTGGTATTTATATTGTTTTTATTACGTAATTCTCTTAGTAGATCAAAAAGGTTATTATGTGGGTAAAATAACGAAATAAACCATTCCCCAAATTTGGTAATTTTTCGTATCTATACCGTTATAAAACCGTTTTGGTTAACCGTAAAAAATACTTTAAAGTTGACTTAGTAGTAAATTTGTAGTTATTTAAACTTAAAATAAAAAATACGACTTTGCATGTATATATACATGCAAAGTCGTTATTTTTTAACGAATTTTTTTTACAGTTTCTGTACCGAAATCGATAAG